TTCAATGTTTGTTATTTGTTTAGTATGTAACTGTTTGTGTTTATCTGATAAATAAATAAAATAAAATATTTGTCAAGATTTTTTCGAAATCCGTTAAAATAGGCCACTCTTAGAGGTGGAATATTTTCTTCCAATTTAAATGGGACCAATACTGAGGTACCCTTTTTCCAACAAAAAAAGAATCATCAAACCGTACACACAAAGTACGAATAAGTCAGGGTACTTGTACAACTATAGGTTGTTTTGCGAATAGGTCCCGTCGACTAATCCAAAGAAAATACAGTCGACTTGAGAACCTCCTCCTTTTTTGAAGTCGGTTAAAAACCACTGAAGCGCTTCTACTAGAGTCTAATTTGAAGGCACCCTGAGACAGTTTGATAAGGTATTATGAACTCTGTATGTGTTAGAATAGATATTATATTTGTATCTAACTTCCTCCGTTACCATGCCGGACTGCACTCAATATTTGTATGGCCAACATTTATTTCTCCCCGTGACTTTGGACGTAATTTGTGGTTGTCTATGGCATCCGCGACACAGGATTTCCCTAGTGCGGGGTTATGTTAAGTGTGTGCGTTACTTACTTACTTCTTTGTTACATTTCAACCAGGTTAAAGTCATAAAAAAGGCTTAAAAGTATCCATAATAAAAGGCATGTACATTTTTTTAAATATTTTTATTGTTACGTTTTACAAAGCATGAAAAAATTAAAAATTAGTTATAATAAAATAATAATAGTAATGTTTAAACAACTACACCTATAAGTTAGAATGCAACGGAGCCTCCTCGCAATGGCGTACTATTCTCATCAACTGTACGTCGTCTGGCAGACCCTTGGTAACAGTCTACCAGCCCGCTACATTGATTAGCAAATCCTTTCAGGGGGCTACCACAACCTCTTAAAACAGTATTACTTCAACCTTACATTGACTTTTCGTACCGTGACGCGCTTAAAGTAAGCTTTTTATAATGTTAAAACTATAATGTTTTATTGGCTGCTTTGTGACTATTCATTCACTCAGTTGGTACCATGACGCGACTTTAACATTAAAGTAATATTGTTCTTAAACCAAATTTAGCAATCTTAAAATAGTTACTCGGACGCAGTGGAAACAATATTATTTTCGAATTTATTGTCTAAGTATTTATTTGTAATGATTAAAAGTTATGTTGAACTTATTTATTTACATAAATCTCTTCAATATTCTGTTTATTTTTTTATTTAATAGTACATAGGAAATAATTTGTCGTTAAATAAAAATACGCGATATTTATTTCGTAAAATGATAACAGTGACATCTAAACGTTCCTTGGCGACATTAACAGTTGACACTAGACTATATTTCCGAATTCACAACATAACTATCAAGACTTAGCTTGTTTTATTTATTTTTCTTCATGAAAATGCGGAAAAATAATTGAAAACCACGTAATTTTAATAGATTTTATTATTACATACTGTTCTCTTTTTAACAGTTAACATTCTCTGAATGTATATAACATTAAGTATTTAAACATTATACTACGACAACCGATTCGAAACATTAAAAAAGAAAGAGATGGCTTTATATAGTATATATAAGGTTATTTCTTTTCTATTTTTAGTAAGGAATAGACAAGATTGCGTTCTTTCAATCACGTTAGCAATAATACATTACTTGGTTGATAGGTTTGTCATGGTACGAATATGAGTAACATAACATAAGCTTACATAAGCTTACTTTATGCTTACATTGAAATAAGATTGTTTTGGAAAGGTCATGGTAGGCCCCCCAGCACGATAGTAAATACGTCCCATACATCAGCATAGCGGGTATTACCAGTGATGCGGGTATACTCCGTCCATCGAGTATATAACCAGAAATAGAGACGAAATATCATTGACTTACAAATAAATGGACGACGGGTCTACAACAAAAACCACGAAAAAAATGTCCCAAGTCAACCTATTTAAACGTAGTGACATGTAAAGGAATGTGAAAAAGCTAAAACGTTGAATTTAAATTGTATGTCATCGCAGTACTGTCTAACTTTGCTTGCTTCGCTGTCAGTCGAACAAACGAAGACTAAAGCGTGAATGACGCTCTGTATACGATTTTAACGCCCTATAAGTTCGGACACTTTTTAGCGCGGACCCGACGTCCATATAGTTGTAAGTCAATGCGAAATATCGTTTAATTTGTTTGAAAACTATTCTGACAAGTCATTATTGTAACAACTCCGCTCCGATTGGCCAGCCCGAATTTGAAACAATTGACGGGTGTCGTCAATTGTTTCACTTCAAATCGACAAGTTTACCTTGAGCTTTGCTATAGTGGACGAACATTGAAAAATTACATATTTAATATTTAATTACCGGTGAAATGTGATTCCGTTTGTTTTGTAATTAGATGTTGTGCTGTTTTTCCCACACCACCGAATGGAACAACCCCCATTGTTAGAGATATTATCTTTATAAGAAATGAAATTATTTTTCCAGATTTAAATAGCATATATTTGTTTTTTCAAACGAACCGACGTCGGTATGTTTGAAAAAAACAAATATAAATTAAATCAGGAAAAACAGTTTCATTTCCTATGTGTAACAATCGCGAAAACCCAAGAACTCGATATTATCTTTATTACAATAAATGCTGTACATTTTCTTAATATACGGGGACGTATACACAGGTCAGTTGTTGGCGCTGTACTATTTCAGCTTTCTAATTTATGATTTCAGCCCAAACGAGAGTTGATATTTAAAAGTGATATAAGGCCCAGTTGCCAGGGATGGATGGCACTTATTTCGTATCTGTTTCTGGTTATATGCTTGATGACTCCGTCCGTTTATTTAACTTTTGACAGCTCCAATTCTAATCAATTAGTGATGTCCTAGTCCCGTTTCCGATTCCATTTTTTTATAATAATCAATTTTATTTATGAGGAAATTTAAATCGTGAATGTGAACGGGTTCAAAAAAGAAGATGTCTGATTGGGATCATGATGTTGCGTTTGACAATTTGTGTACTCAAGAATTAATAATAATGTTAATGAGGATTCTAGAAACAAACATAGCATTTACGTAATCTCGCGGTGCACTCGAGTAGCATAGCGCGGGTTGTCCCGTGCGCTATTCATTATACAACTGAAGCTTTCGCTCGCGCTGTTTAAACAGTGTCATTAAATAGTAGACGTATTTATTGTTGCGTCTATAGTTGTTTAAACAAGCCTCAAAATTAAGAATTGTTCAACATTTCATTTTTATTTCATAATCATATTCCCATGATCGAGGTACTAGTCCGCCATTTTGGTATATAAAAAATATCAGAAGTACTGATTTGACAGTGACATTTTCAATATACCACTGCATGGGAACGAAGTTAACAAAATGGAAAGGATCCATTCATTTGCAGGACAGACGTAGCTCCACAAAGAGCCGTCTCGCGATTACTTTTGGAAGATGAGAACTGTACCTACAGGTTTCCACCGTCAATACCAAATACTGAACAAAGAACCACGTATTTTGATTTGGGCAATGAACACAGGAGCTGCTAGATCACGACGGCTAGACGCCGGCACCGCGTGTTGCGATTTGGGTGACACCAAAATATCAGGATAGTTTGATCCGAGGGCTTTGGGTTATGGCCAAGTCCACGATATTTATGTTTAGCACCAGGTTTGACGGTCTCATGAGATTTTACGTATTTTAGATATTTTAGAGAACACCCGGCATTTCTGCCTTGTTGAGGTAGAGCACGCATCAAAAGTGCTCGAAATAACGGCTTGTAGTGCTTACGCCCGCCAATAGCCTTCTTGGGCGCCTTCTTGTATGACGTATTTGACGTTGCAAGCCGCGCGGATATTAAACGAAGAACTTATACGTATATGAAAAGCATACAACCACAAAAGTCCCGTGATGAACTTTTACACTTTTTTCAAATAACGTTCACAACTTGTAGGTACAATTAAAATAATATTGTGGCAACCCTATACTCCGAGGCACGTGTAGGCATTGATGCGCCGAACATTGCACGTGTTGTCTTATAATTGTATTATGGTAGTAGTATCTCGTAAACAAAGAAAAATAACTTACTAGCAAAATCTGCTGATCGGTAATAATAGGGGTTTAAATATGAAATTGCCGATTTATTTTACTGGCCACTTTAAATTAAAATTAAACCTGTATGGTGTCCGATTTCAGAGTGAAACGTTTTTCACACGAAAAGTAAAACATGCTTAACTTAAAAAACATGATATTTGATTGTTCGACTTTCAATTGTTTTTACATTCAGCTTTTAACGTGAAGATGGATACAGCGAAAATCTGAGTACCTAATTTTCGAATACGAATTTCCACATGGAGTTAACGTAGCAGAAACTGTCAATGCTGTATTTGGAGAGGATACGGCATACGCAAATACGGCAAACGCCGGCAATACTTCAAATTACGACTTGAAGAAAGAACCACGAGGAAGACCAGTCACAAATGTAAATAACGTTGAATTGAAGGTAATGATGGAAGCCGATCCGTATCAAACTACCACGAAACGTCATGGTTTAATGTTAGCATACCCACAATATGACATATGGCGTTTGAATAATGACGACGGAACTCGCAGCAAAACAGCTTCACCGTTATTGCTCTATGATAACGCAACACCTCACACTGCTTGAGAAACAGTTTTACTACTACAAGACCTGCAGATATAAATTATCCATCATCCTACATATTCGTCAGACCTCGCCCCGACCGACTACCATTTTTTCCCGCAATCTGAATTTTTTTTGTATGGAAATAATATTCCCAGGAAACAGTACAAAAATCCCTTCACACAGCTGTGGAGTCCAGGTCCCCAGAGTTCTATCGCAAAGGTTTAAATGACCTTCCGATTACATGGCAGAAATGTATAGACAACAAGGGAAAAAACTTTGATTAAACAAATATATTTAATCTTAAAAAAATTTGTTTTAATTTGTCAGTGCGAAACGGCAATTTCATACTTTAACCCCTAATATGATGTTATTTTGTGTAGTGACATCACCTACAACACTAGTTTCTAGGCTTATGAGGTAATGCATACCGAAGCTTATCCCAAAACCAAGGATCATCCCAACGCAAATAAGTATTCGTCTGCATGTACAACCGTAGGTCAGGATCTAAAAGAAAATCTTCACATATATCTTCTAGAAGTATAACAATAACACGATTTCTTCTACCAGTCATGGCACTTGCATATGCCATACGGAACTCCATCAGTCCCCATATGGACTTCACATAACTTTTCGAAACAACTACAAGTGTACTTTGCGAGTTTTCAATCGATTTTGCTATTTGAGATGAAATCATTTCTCCTGGAATCCAATCTCTTAAATGAACACAGGTTTTATAAGCAGCTGCTCCATTTTCGAGTCCAGGCAATAATTTGTCGGTAACAAATTTTTCATCTGCATGTGCGAAAGATATAAACACATCGTATAGTCGGTTTTCATTCATATCATTATCACTTATACAACAAAGGAACCAACCTCGAGAATAGACAAGAACCTTAATTTCATACCTGTAGCGATAATATGTGAAAGTTATGAATGCTAAAATACCTGCCACGATGCTGACAGCTGATAATGCTATAGTTAATTTCGACGTTCTTGGTATTGACTGTGCCATGTTACAAAGTTCATCTTCTTTAAAGTTGTTCAACAAAATTTCACCTTCAGCGCAGGTTAGTTCCTCATAATCGTCAACCTGTAATAGTACATTGTGTATAAAGGACGTTAATAAAGAAAGTACTTACGAGGGTCCATTAGAACTTTTGTAGTTTTTTGCCATCTGTGATACATATAATATTTTTCATCACATTTGCGAGGAAATTAATACAATGTTTATTTCGTGTATAAATATGGTTCACAACACAACAGTTATGAACTTTGCAAATGGGTTTCTTGTTATTTTTTTTATCAACAGATGGCTAGTTTCTTCCTTAAGTAATGTACCTAACTCGAACTAAAATTTTGTAAAAAGCAAAAACACATAACAGCCATGATGGATTGTAAAAAAAATTAGCAACATTTTTATACAGAATATAATTAAAAATAAATTCTTGATAATAAGTATTTAAGTAGTATGTGACTGAATTGCAATTAAACTTCTGTTTAGATAACATTTTAAGCGAACGTTTTAATTTTGAACATAAGTACCTCCTTGATTGAACATGAACTTGACTTGTGAAGAAGTATGTCGTGCTACAACTTAAAATAAAACTCCTTACCGACTATGGCTGTAATGGGAATAAAAAAGGCCCGAGGATTATATTTGGGGCATTATAGTCAAGTTAGCCACCATGCAATCATATTGAGCCAGTGTGATGAAAAATAAATTTTGTTTGTTAGCCAAACGGCACTTCACTAATTTCGTAGAACTAAATTGAAACATCGTCATTTACCTGGTGGCGGTATAGTCTTAAGTATTGGAGCAACGCTTGATTTTTACAATCGCATATTATTGGATTTCCAGCTAGTCTAAAATGTCGATCTTTCTTCGAAAACATGGCGATTACAATTCCCAAGTCCAAACGTGATATTTGATTTGAACTAATGTCAACACACTGTTAAATTTAAAGACAGTTATTAATAAGTAGAATTATCGAAATTTATGATGTTTTTTCACACATCCAGATACCTTTACAGCTACCAACGGCTGACCAGTGATGTCGCTTTAATATATGTAATATTAATATTGAATATCACGATGAATTACTACCATGATATTTTGTGAAATTACTCCACTAGGTTGTTATAATTATGAATACAAAGATCGAACACAAAAAAATACTTACAACTAATTTATCACTGAATAAGCTAACATTGAGAGATTCTATGCGATTGGAAGCGGCGTGAAGATGACTGAGACCTTCTACCGTAGGTATGGCACGAGTCAAGCCAGAAGAACAATGAGCAATTGTAGATTTAGCATCTCGATGACAAACGCAGTCGCCACAATCAAATTTGGTACTATTTAAAGTGTATGAACAAGTTATATGTTGTATTTTCAGGTTTGAGATATCTTTTAACGCTTTTTGTAACCAAGAATATTGGCAATCGCATTGCAGCGGCTCCACATTGGCCAAAACAGTCGTTTTTGTATTCTTGCGCTCCATCTATAATACATTTAAACAGTGTTATTTACTGTTCGAGTTCGTGCTCGAAAGAGACAACGATCAAACGAATCAATCGGAATATTTGGTCAATTGTAATAACGATCGCCAAAAATAGAGCAAATCTGAAGGCACTTTAAAGCAAAATTATATTTGCGTTGGCAATAATATTAATATTGTTTAAATTTCATAGTGTATTTTGCATGTAAAATAAATACGATTTTATTTATTTTATTTTTTAACATTTTTGAATTTGTCTTTAAAATAAATTTAAATAGGCAATGAAACTATTTTTCCGGACTTAAATCGCGTATATTTGTTTTTTCAAACAAACGAACGTTTCGAGTCCTTTACAGATCCCATGGTCACGGTTGAATCCGGAGAAACAGTTTCATTTCCTATATGTAACAATCGCGAAAACCTAAGAACTCAATCAATTTGAACTTACAAATTTCGATTTTACAGCTTCATACTCATTCATGTCATGAAATTTTAAAGAGATGTTGTTTCCTCGTAAGTCCATGGTAAAATTTGGTGCAGTAAATGCTGGCAATCCCTGTAACTGTTTACAACCAATGTTGAGTTACATCATCATCATCATCATCAGCCTATTGCAGTCCACTGCTGGACATAGGCCTCCCCTAATGCACGCCATTTCGCCCTGTTCTCGGCTTGACGCATCCATTTCCTGCCAGCAATCTTCCGCAGATCGTCACTCAGATGTTGAGTTACGGCAGATAATAAAAAAGTAACGAGAAAAGTCTCTCTCCGCCCCCCGCATATTGTAGCGACATTGTCAGGAAAGCAACAAGGCTGTCAGCGAGTCGTTCCCTAAGGACGACTTACTTGAACCAGATGAGGTGTGGGGGGGCGCCCGATGGCAACTGATTGTATGAGGTTTTTCTTCCGTGCCATAGACGATGGAAAGACCCTGCTTGTGGCGACACAAACTTACCGACAGTGTAGAGACCATACTATTGCTAACGTTAAAATCAATTAAATTCTCTGTCTTCATAAGGTCAAAACATAAACGTGAAGTGTTTGTGTAACTAGCTGAAATCATCCTAAGTTCGGAAAATACCATCCATTGTTGACTTTTTGGCTTCCTAGCTGCAAAAATAAAAATACACTTTAAGACGTTTAGGTTAATTGTGAAAATTGCATTTTCGTTAGGACCCTAAACAATTTTTAACGAGAAGTTACTGTCATAGAGTGTTGTAGACTATCAAAGAACAAAAAATTAATGACAAGCTGCGCTCGTGATTTACATGTATCACTTATAGGAAAAAAATTTGATACCTAATAAATACAGTCAAAGGTAATGGCGGTTCACACACGCTTGCTATTTGCCACAAGCCCCAGACGTCTACAAATTTTATTTACCTTCCGTTTGAGTTTGTTGTCATGGATTGTTAACAAAATATACAATATTAAAGCGT